GCGTGCAATATTTGGCGTTAACAGCAGATCCCAAATAATCGATATGTCTCTACTTTCATGTTCTCATCATCGACCATGAAATACAGGTAATGTAGATCTGGTAATTATTACAACTACGTATAGTATTATATCAGGTGTCTGTCAAATTGATAGACTCCTGATTATATTACTATATATATATATATATATTATTATTTATAGTATATATATAATATATATATATTTTTTTTTTTTACCAGAATAATGGTAATAGTGTGTAATCTTCTCTTACGATGAGACGAATTTTATAGTTGCCGTGTGCGAAACGTGAGAAGAGTAATCTGTGCAGTAGCTATCAGCGAGAGGTCATAAACAACGCCGCGCAACCACGGGAGGGGGCAATAAAAACTTACAACTCACCAAGAAACTCTGAACCTGAGAACTCAGAAACTAGAAGCTCGTAAGACGAATTACGGTTCAATATTAACCGCGTTCGATCCTGAATTTTCTGAGAGATTGTGGCGCCACCTGTCGTCTCCATAAGGGACCGTCTCTCGGTTAATGATGATCAGAATATGGGATTGTTAGTAAAAATTACCCCCCCCCCGAACTTGAACGCGGAAATTTATAGTAAAATGCCAGAGGTGAAAGAGAAATTTCCCGTTTTTTTACCGCGTGAATGAAGCAAGTGCTGCGTCGATGGAATTTGGTCGATTGCCGTACAAATTTAAGCAGCTTAACCTACGCTCTCTGTATTATGTACACAAGAGACGCGGCGAGAGCGAGAGAGAGAGAGGTGGCGCTCCGAACTAAATTGAACGTCAGGGGTCAAAGGTCATATTGCAGTTGTGTGCGAAGACACGGATCGATTGATGCAGTGAGAAAAACTATTTGTGTCAGAGATGACGTTGGTCATTTTCATGGCTTTATTTCCGGAAAGGACCAATGATTGTACTTTCCACTTATATGTATGTATATATACACACATATATCTATCTATTTTTCTCCCTCTCTTTATATATATATATAATATATACCCACATATATCTGATAATGTATTATGGAGCAGATATTTCGAATGACGCATTTAACGCACAAAGTTATTTACTTAAGTTTTTCAAGGGATTTATTTACGACAGCCATGTTGTTTGTGGAATGGCACGAGGCAGCCGATCGTGAATCGTGATTACTTTTGCTTGTTTACAAAACTGTTTACTTGTTTACTAAACTGTTTTGCCTCACTTTTCCGATAGTTGTAACGTGATAAATCGTAATCATATAATAAACAGTAACCAAGCGGGGTTGTGCATCCGTGCATTCCGGTTGACGTATAGTATATATATAGGCCACGTCCCCCGAGAAAATATTTAATGCAATTTACATGGTCGATGTGTATTTGATGGAGCTAATAGATTAACGGAAAAATATCATTACTTTTTTGACAGATGCTTACATGCATTATGCAGCACGTGCTGTGAGTCGTGAATCTACGTCAGCTCGCTCTGTGACGTAACCATGACGTAATCATTACACCACGTGGTAGAAGTGGTCAAAGGGCAACCGCATTTACCTGGCTAGTTAGAGACATAGCTGCCACAATGTGTGTCTGTTACGTAATATTAACTTTTTATCTCGCACATATATAGCCGTAAATTTTTTGTATCGTATATTCAGTTAGTTTATATCAACTTTTAGCAATGTCAGAGTGACTTACACGAAAATCGTATACCGTGTAAATTTCGTCTCTAACCGTTGTGAACTAAAAGTATATTTTACCACTCTGACGATATATAGTATTAGTGGTATGGGGTTCGACTAAACCTCTGTTCCAAGAATTCTCTGTGCGATTGCTCGAACAGGGAAGATGGTTATAGGCTCGGTTGCACACACCCATTAATATATTACACGTTTGTAGTTAGTTCGCAGCAACAATTCGTTTAAATTTGCACCTTTATATATATATATATATGATAATATATATATATATATATATATATATATATATATATATAGCAAGTTGCGAAATTAACGGGAGTCCTGAGTCAAATACT